GGCCGGGACCGGGGAAGGCACGGCACCTCGGAGCCCTTCGCCGAGGGAGGCGGAGCAGTCTAGCTGCGGCCGGAGACGACGTGAGTGCCGGGGCTGAAAGTGCCCTTCAGGAAGACGAGGAGCCGCTGCCTGAAGGGGGAAGAGACAGCGTGGGCAGCCCGAGAGTGTCTGTGTCGGAGTCCTCCTTTACCGGTGACGAGCCTGCCACCAACCGCGAGGAGATTTGAGAAAACCGCAGGACTGCGCAGGCAGCCCCGGATTGCCCAGGACAAAGGGGTTGCCCCCGGCTCTCTTTCCGGCCGCCTTTCCGCAGAACTGGCTTAATGCAGGTGCCCTGGAGAAGATCGCCCACCTGCCTGTCTTGCCCCGCTCACTGTACGAGCCTGCCCTTTAGCCCAGGGTAGAGTCTGAGGTTTGCTCTTGCAACGAGGGTACAGGCTGGGAGAAGGATGGGGAGAGAGAGAGAGCATAGGGAAAGGACGTGGTTTTGGGAGCGCCACATTAAAATCTAGCTTCTCCCAGAGGTACATATAAATTCTAGCTTATTTCATAGCCATTTCTGTCAGACTTCTATTTTTGCTTTGTTAACTATGAATTTGGCCTTTCATCTCTCTTCAGCCCATATCTGTGAACAGACTCTTCTTCCCTATCCTATTATCCCCCCTCCCCACCCTAGAGTTGCAATAGAATCTCAAGAGCGTGACTTTTAGTAGAAAAACCAAATAGAAATGAAGGGATAAAGGGCAAGGGGTTAGGAATTTTAAGACACGAGAAAAAGCACCTGCGTCAGAGCAACAAAATTCTAATTGCTGAAACTATTCAGGAACCTGGGGAATGCCACAAGTCATGGAAATTGAGTCCGGTCACCAAAAAGAAGTTCAAAGAAATAGCCTGTGAGAGACCTCAGAGCACAACTGGCTGTGGTGGTTAAGCAGTCGAGAGAGGAGATGCTGAAGAGTGGGAAAGAGGAGGCCTATATAAAGTCGCCTGTGACATTCTAATCAGAGCTACAAACCCCAGTTGCAATGCGAGAGTTAAATAAAAGTAGAGAAAGTAGTTATTAGAGATTATTTTAAAAGCCTAGAACACTAAATTCATTGACTTGAGTTTGTGGCTTTAATTAAGAGTTGCCCATCAGTGTTTCTGAGAACTTTGGGAGAGAAGGGAAATTGCTGTTATATGACTCAGTTTTATTTTGGGGAAATAATAACAGGTGCTCATGTTCCTACCATTCACTATTAACATATGTTAGCATTTTGTGTATTTGCTTCAGTTCTATTTAAAAATGGAAATAAACATGATAGGTAATGTTGTGAAGTACCACATGAATCTTTCTTCCATTCATTCTTCCTCAAAGGTAGCCACTGTCATAAGTGTGTGTATGTGTGTGTGTGTTTGTGTGTGTGTTACTGGTAATTAAACCAGGGCCTTTGTACTGGGCTACATCCTCAACTCTTTATTTTGAGACAGGGTCTTCCTAACTTGCAAAATTGTGTAGGCTTGGCTCAGACTTGCTGTTCTCTTGCTTTACCCTCCCAGAGTGCTGGGATTTCAGGCATGCACCACCAGGCCCAGCTTATATTGTAAATTTGTTGCCTTTCTTCCCAGTCTGTGTTTTTATACTTTTAATTATATATGCAGTCATAAAATGTGTAATGTTTATTCATACAACTAGAGTTGTAATCTGTGCATATCTGTGGTTTGCATTTGGAAACTGTTGCACGTAGCTCTGATTCATTTTTAAAGTTATTGTTTGTTATTTCACATACTGCATTGTATTTATCTGTTCTTTTATTTATGGCATCTGAATTGTTTGCAGTTTTCCCATGAGCAGCAGTGAAGTTAGAAAGGTGAAGAATATCCTTGCTCATGTATTCTTACAGAGAAACAGCCAGGTGTCTCTATTTTGGCGCTATTGACATTTTGGACATTCTGACATCTTTGTCGTGGGAACGTTATATACTTTCAGTAGTGTTTTTTTGTTTGTTTGTTTTTTGTTTTTTGAGACAGGGTCTCACTATGTAGTTGAGACTGACCTGGAACTCACTATGTAGTCCAGGCTGGTTTCAAACTCAGCGATCCTCCTGCCTCAGCCTCCCAAGTACTGGGATTATAGGCCTGTGCCACCATTCCTGGCTCAGTAATGTTTTTGTGGGGGAGCAAGTGGGGTGGAGGGGGGTGGAACTCAACCTTGTGTTTGTGAGGCAGGCACGGTGCTACTGAGCTAAACCCCTGGCCCTCTCTCAGTGATGTTTAGCAGCACTTTGCCCTCTACTTACTAGATGCCAGTAGCAACATCTGAATTTAAAACCAAAGTGTCTCTATCAAATGTTTCCTGTGCAGGAAAATCACAACTGGTTGAGAACTACAACTCTAGGTGTATGTATGCAGAAGTGAAACTGCTAACTTGGTCTGACTGAAGTTAGTTTTAGCACAGTCCTACTGATATAGCTTTAGGTAGTATTTTTTTTGTTTGTTTTCTCACAGTAGCTCCTGGTATGAAAGACTTTGCCCTAGGCCAACACTGGTTTTGTAGTATTGGGATGGTGGATAGAACATTGTAGTTTCAGTTTACTTTTTTTGTTTTTATTTTTTGAGACAGGGTCTCTTTATGTAGCCCAGGCTGGCCTCAACTCAGAGTGATGTTCCTGCTTCAGCCTTCCAAGTGCCAGGATTATAAGCGTGGGCCACCACACCTGGCTTGTGGTTTCAGCCCCCACCCCCACACTGGGAATCAAACTCAGGACCTTGCACCTGCCAGGCAGGCACTGAGCTACATCCCTGGCCCTTGTGGTTTTAGTTTGAGAATTGACTGGCGTCAGCTGTGGAGATGCTTGATCATCAGCAATCTGACTAGCACTGCACTTCTTTTCCTAAACCTAGAGCTGGGAGCATAGAGGACTTTTAATGTGCTGATATAATGCATAGAAAGGAGGGTTCCCTCAAGGAATGTTTTTTGAACTAATCCTTGGTAGGAATGAAGGTGGACTTTAAGAACAGAGGCAACTGAGTTGTCTTACTGCTCTGCTCTTGAATTAAATCTTTGGTTCATCACTGATGTGGGGAGGTTGAGAAAGGCTAAGAGCAGTAAGAATGAACCCAGAATTTGAGGTGTCACTCTACCTTCTTTTCTGGCAGGAGTCTGCAGTAGCCTTCCTTGAAGAACTGCCTCTCCCATTGCTGCCCGGAGTTAACATTTCCTGCTGGCAGAATCAGGGACATGCCAGCACCGTAAGGCTTCACATCCCAATCTTCTTACTGATGTCTTGGTTGGGGTGGGGTGGGGTAGGGTGAGTGGGGAAGAAAAAGACTTTCCTTTCCTTTCATGGCTCTGACTTCATTTCAAACCATAGCCATGGCCTCCTTTCTTGTTGATCGTCCTTCCTATAGCCTTGTTTCCCGTTTCCCCTTGTACCCTTGTAGCTCCCTTTGTATTTTCTAGTTCTGCGTACCCTATTCCCACCCACTGCCGAGGGGTTTGGACTCTGAGCTGATGGGGTACCCACCTCTGCAGAGCGGGATGAGTGGGCATTCCAGTGGGGATGTGGTCATTGCCGGCCAGTGAGGACGAGAGCAGCACGGCCCACTTCTTCCTTGGAGCTGGAGATGAGTGGTTGGGTACCCGCGGACTAGGCATGAGGACAGAGGAGAGTGACAGTGAGCTGCTTGAGGATGAGGAGGATGAAGTGGTAAGCATGGGGAAGACAGTGTAACTTGGTGTTGGGTCTCTGTCAGAAGAGATGTGATTCTGCTGGATGGAGACCCTCTTTCCAAATTCGCAGAAACCCTATGCTGAATAGGCCCTGTCCAGGATTGGGGGAGCTGGTGGAGAGAGGTTGACCGCCTCCCTTCAGAACTCCAGCTCTTACGACTCCTCCTGTGTTCTCAGGGTCACTGGTTCTCTGGCTCTTCTGCTTGCACTTCCTTCAGTGGGAAGACTCATTCTGTAGGCAGTGGGAAATCCCTAGATATACCCCAGCCTAGACCAAAGGTGGGCACCTTTGCCCTACAGACCCAGTGTCCTGACAGGAAACTGTAACTTGGAGAGATGAGGCAGTGTTTCCTTCCCGTAGGGGGACCTAAGTGAGAAGATTTGCATTCCTGATAGTGCTTTCTCCTGCAGCCTCCTGAACCTCAAATCATTGTTGGCATCTGTGCCATGACCAAGAAATCTAAGTCTAAGCCAATGACCCAAATCCTAGAGCGACTCTGCAGATTTGACTATCTGACCGTGATCATCCTGGGAGAAGATGTGATCCTCAATGAACCCGTGGAGAACTGGCCATCCTGCCACTGCCTCATCTCTTTCCACTCCAAAGGTCAGGGTCTGGAAAGCAGAAGTGAAAGGATGGTGAGGGAATGCTGGGCTGGGGATGAGCTTTTTACTGTCTTATCAGTAAAGAGGCACCAGCTCCTCCAGCACAGTAGGGAACAGTGCCCAGGGATTTGCTTTTCCTACACTTTGGAGGAGTGGCCAGCTAGAGCTTAGACCCACATTCTGTCTCCAGGGTAGCTCTAAGGCCCTTAGGATTTCCAACAGAGTTGGATCTCTGGAAGGACCCTAAATTAAAAAATGTTTTTCGTGCTAAATATCCTAGACTTAGAAGCTAGGCAGAAGGAGAAGTGATATGGGTTGAATGGGTGGAGAAGCTCAGTGGCAATTAGCTTTTAAATGTTTCTGTTTCTCTGTGTCTCTTGCTCTCTTCTCACCCTCTCTCTTTTGCTTTCTTTCTTTGCTTCCTATTTTCTTTCTCTGTCCCAGGCTTTCCTCTGGACAAGGCTGTTGCTTACTCCAAGCTTCGAAACCCCTTTCTTATCAATGATCTGGCCATGCAGTATTACATCCAAGACAGGTATAGTTTTCTGTGGACCCATGGAATGATGACCCTGAAATCATGCCCACTTAGGGAACACATGCCGGGAGAGGGCAGAGCCAAACACACTTCATTTTTGTGCCAAACCCTGTGGAGTTCTGTGCCTCAGTGTCTTTCAGTCCCTGTGCAAATGAAACCCCTGGCCTCTCCTCTTAGTTACCCACCCCCTACCACTCCCAGCTAACTTATTTGGGGGTGACAGGAGGGAGGTGTACCGGATCCTGCAGGAAGAGGGTATTGATCTGCCTCGGTATGCTGTGCTCAACCGGGATCCTGCCCGGCCCGAGGGTGAGTATGTATTCCTGCCCAGTGCTTTCCTGCCTTACTCTTCATGACTTAGCTCAGTTTCTGTCCCCTAGGCCTCACTTATATACCACCTATACTGTGGGGCTTGGGTACTGACTTATGGTAGAGTACGAGTCCAGTTTCTTTGGACAGAGCTTGGTCCTATTATGCAGGTATTATCATATCTATATGCCATATATAGATACTTCTTCTTCTTTTTTTTTTTTTTTTTTTTTT